TCTTCTATGTTAAGCATTATTCACAATGTTTCCGTAGGCACCTGTATCTCCTTTGTGCTGTCTAACCTTAATCTTCTAAGTTCCATGCACTCTCTGTGTGCATTCAGATGAGATGCAGGCACAATGAGGGTTTTAAAGTGCCATTTCAGCAAAAATGAGCACAAAGAAAAACAAATCACAAGTAAAGTAAAATCACAGGTAAAACTGAGAAACTGTGTCTTAAACGGGCACTCTACAAAATCTATAAGCACTCTGAATCTATTCTGTGTTTATGAGTGTGTATGTGTGTGTCTGTGTGTGTACATGACGAGTTTTAAGATTTAAAGCTATCATTGTTCTCAAGACACGGAGAGATTATAGTGATTTTTTTTTTCCTTCCCCAAAATGTCTACAGGGAGGCATACATTTCTCCAATAACTGTGTGTGTTAGAGAATAGTTGACAAGCACATGCTTTTAAAAGCAAAACGATATGATTGCGAATACTAGATATTTTATGTTCTAAGACTGCAACCTTGAGCAATTCGTTTAATCTTCTGTACCCTAGTTTCCTCATATGAAAAATGAGACGGTCTACACCCTGGGACTGGTAAAAGGATTAAATGATTAATGCATATAACCTATGCAGAACAACACATTTTGATGATTATTTGAAAGTTTTAAAGCAAGTCATTGCTCTGTAAATGGTTTACTCAATGCTTTTAGAAAATCTCTTAAGCATTTGTTTGAAAAGTTTGTCTGTATGTAATGCATATCCTTATGAATTGTTATGTTCTTTTCTATTATTATAATTTGAAAACTGTAATTGCTCTGCTAGAAGTAACACCTGAAACCCAATAACACAGGCAGCCCAATCATGTTAGTTTGAAAGCTGTGTTCATAATGTATATCCTCGTAGAAAGAGATGTTGCATTAAAATGAAGCATAATAATGGTTGTAATATTCAAAATTAGGTACCGTTTGATTTGTCAGTTTTTATGGGAATTTTTAGGGTTCTATTTTAGGGTGCCAGAAATACATCTCGCCATTTATTTTCTTCGGAGTCCAAGGCCCTGTGTTTAGGGCCTGGGCCTGAGAAAGATTTTTCTTGTGGGTATCCTTCCAGCTGTGGCTGTTGGCAATTCGTCTTAGTCTCCAAAGACTCCCTCTCCAGCCTGTTTAGGAACCAGTGACCTCAAGAACTAGTGTGAACATTCCCCTTTAATAAATGTCACCTGTTAATTCCAGCGAGGGTTTTCCCCTGGCTAATTTATCTCATTTTCCCTAATTCTCTTGTCTCTAGAGGAAACAGGATTATTTCTGGGTGTTCTAAGTATTTACACGGATAGTCATTTTAGAGACGGGTAGAGTTACAGTGGACCTTTTCCTGTATCCCCATTTCTTTCAATATAATAACGAGAATTTGCAGAGAAAGTGTCACTTTTACTTCCTTAGCATAACCTAGATTTTTTTGAACCAGATGGCCTGGGAGATGGGACATATGAGTACATATTCTGGAAGTTCTGAGAAAGAACAGAAAAAACTGCCTTCATATCTGGCTGCTGGAACTAGCCTGCTAATTAATGGCTAAGTCAAGGTGCATCTGGCTGCACATAAAAATAATTGAAAGAACTTCAACATCAGAGGAAGGCAGCCCACAGCCAGCATGGGATGAGACAGAAAAAAGAACAATATGTAACCACTAAAAATGACCCCAAATCCCCTTCTCTTCCACTGCTTATTTTTACCAAAAAGAATGCCAGTCATGCTCTGGTCCTGTGACTTTCTGGCTAAAGGTTATTGACATCCCATTATCCTGATAGCAACCAATCCAGGAACAAGTTCTTGCTCCTCTTAGCACTTCTAAAACAACCCAGACCCTTGACCAGCCCATCTGAACCCCTCTCCAAGGTAGCTCATTGTTCTCCGTGTATGCCCTCCCTCTGTTGAAACAAGTTCCTAAACCCAAACTTGACTTCAGATGCGGTTCCAGGTGGTATTTGATGACTGCACCTAATCAGTTCTGGTACATGCAGCTATAAAATGATGCAATGTTTTTATTGTATTTTTTTGCTTTCTTACTTATTATCACTGTCTCAATCACCCTTGAAAAGAGGACAGTCATTAATTTCTCAAACAGATTGTTCTACCTCCTTAATGCTTTCCTTGTATCCAGAGCCCCCTTACTCTGATACAAACTACCCTCATGGTTACTTCTAAAGTGGACAGTTCTCCATCCTTTGCAACCTAAAAGAGTTGGGGTTAGTTGAGAATCGGCAACATGTGCACCACTTTGAGAGTTCATTGTAAATGCAGACACAGGTTCACCACAACACAATTGAATAAGGATCTGCACTTGAAGCAGACGTCCTACATGTTCCTAAGAACGTGAATTTTTGAGAATTACTGCTAAATGTCCCAACTGCACTCATACACCACTTTGGTGCAATCATTTGGCATCTCCCTGACTTTGGGACAAAGCCCAAACTCCCTGCTTTGCCTTTGGAGGTTTTTTATCAGCCAGTTTCTTTCTGCCTCATATTTCACACCTTTCTAAAAAATACCTTGAATTTTTCACCCAGGATGCAGGAGCATGGTTCCCCAACTTCCTGTCTTCTCACTTCAAAGGTGTGGAATTCTATCCTCCCCACAACACACCACCCACTGTCATTTTTTCTACGGAGTTGGAAAGGCCTGGCTTAGGTTTCTTCAGACAGAATATGTTCCCAATCTTCACAGACTAGGTTAAGGGCAGTGTCCAGACATTTATTAGCACCACTTATTAGCATGGGTGCCATCTCCATCTCCAGCACCCCCTGCCTCTCCTTGCTTCTGTGTTTCTCTGCCTTCCCCTTGAGGTTTATGATGTGAGAAGTTTTTTCTTCAATTTTAACACCAGCCCAGCACAGGGCCTGGGACAGTGGAGATATCTAGTAAAGGATTGTTGAATGAATGAATGAATGCATATATTTTTTAGCATCCTTGAGTTATTCATAATGAACAAGAATGCACAAAATAGTCAAAACAAGAGTGATTCTCCCTTCAGCTGAAATTTGCTAAAAATTAGACTTTGAATGCCTGAAGATGACATTCAATTAAATATGTATAAGTATATATGTATGTGTGTATATACATGTATGTTTATATGTGTTTAATGCAAATGCTGAGATTTAAGTGCATGCATATCTATGAATATATCTATGTAAATTATGTGTATGTATATATGCATGTGTGTCTATGTGTGTGTATATTCAGTAATGGCCCTTTTCCAAGGGGGATGCGTTCAAAACTCAGTGGATACCTGAAACCACAGATAGTTCCAAACCCTTTATATACTATGTATTTTATTATATATATACACTTTTGATAAAGTTTATAAATTAGAGGCAGTAAGAGATGAACAATAACTAATAAAATAGAACATTTATAACAATATACTGTCATAAAAGTTATGGTGAGTGTGGTCTCTTTCAAAATATCTCATTGAACTGTACTCGCATATTTTTAGACCACAGTTGTCCACAGTACCTGAAATTGCAGAATGTGATTCCAAAGATAAAGAGAACTAATGTATTTTATATATATGTATACACACACATGCATAGGAATGTATATATGAACACATTGTGTTATAGATGTGTGTGGATATATGAGTGTGTGTGCACATATATATGTGTGTGTATATATATGTTTAATGGAATTGGCATCTTCAGGAATTTAAGTATGTGATGTCTATGTATATATTTACATATGTAATATATATGCATATATGTATGTGTGCATATACAGTGCATATAATGTATACATGTACAGTCATGCATCACTTAACAATAGGGATAAATTCTGAGAAATATATCGTTAGGTGATTTCATCGTTGCGCAAACATCATGTAGTGTACTTACACAAACCTCGAGGTGCAGCCTACAGTACTCCTAGGCTCTATGGTATAGCCTAGTCCTTCCAGACTACAAACCCGTGCAGCACATGACTGGAGAGAAGACCCTAGGCAACTGTAACACAATGATAAGTATTTGTGTATCTAAACATAGAAAAGGTACAATAAAAATATGGTATTATAATCTCATGAGACTGTCATCATATATGCTATTTGCATTTGTCAAAAATATGCTGTGCATGATTCTATACATAATGCATATATAGGATATTTGCATGTATATACATATGTAATGTATATACATGTACATATATGTGTGTGTGTATGTATTTCTCCTGTGTGCCTTCACAACATGATTGAGGCAAACAACATCTGAAGAATTTAGGAGTTCACATATGTCAGAGAGTCCCAGTCCTTGCTATCTTTCTTTCTCTGATACTTAGCTAGGATTATCACAACATGCAAGGCCTTGACTTAGAAGTGTTTGCTGTGTTAACTTCTTGGTGAAAAGATTTGGGCTATGAGGATATACTATCATGTTATCCATCAAGTTCTCCTGTCTAATAGGGGCTAGTTTCCTCTGAACATCTTCCATTATGAAAGGGGAGCAATGCATGTGCGTGTCCCTTAAGGCTACTGTGAAAGTCAAATAAGGTCGCGATGGTTGGATGCACAGGAAGGAATTGACAAATGGGCTCCCATTGGTATGATAGTGATTTTCTGCCTCTTGAGTTTCATTCAGCAGAATTTCTTGCTGTCACTTGAAAGTTTACTCACCTAAGGCTATTTTAAAGTGTTTTGTCAACCACAATTCCAAACACAGTGACACAAGAATGAGCAGGGGTAGATATAACAAATCCAAACACTCCGTTTCAGGCAGTGTCATCTGAGGCGCTTCACCAAACAGGGCTTGGTTTTCCAAAATCAGGCCAGCAGAGCCTCCTCAACTGTGCAGCTGGCCAAAGCTAAAGAAATCATCCCATTACCAAATGTATTTATCCATTTGTAGCCTATGTCCGCTGCATCACTTAGCTTTTACAAAGAAAAAGGCATTCAAAGAACAACAAAAGTAAATGAAACACGCCACCTACCAAGAAAGAACGGACGCATAATTATTTGCACAAAGCATTAGAAAATACTGTGATATTTTATTATTAAAAATGCTGCTGAAAAGTTTATACATATGTGTCCGGCCATATATATCTTCTATCATTACTTAAGGCAAAATAAAAAACAAAATTGCAAAATAATAACCCAAGGAACCATTAAACCCTGCGTGCCTTTGAAGATCAAGAATAAAAGCCTAGGAAACGATTTTTTTTTTCTTATTTTTCTCATTTTTTTTCTTTTTTCTCTTTTTCATAGATAGCAAGTATATTTTTTTCTCATAGAACTCTATGAAGATTCTATAACTTCTTTCCATGTAGAAATAAGATATCATTTAAGATGTACTAAATCACTTTTGATCATAATCCCCTGTAAAAGCTAAAGTTATTCACTTAACAGGAACTCTGTTTTTCCTTATTCAAATGTCACAAGCCTGACGCGTTACTGTACATATTGCTAGCAGGAGACAATTGGAAATACTAAACAAATACTGGAATTCACATTACAGACAGACGAAACCAGCATGGGTGCCACACATCACTTCCTTTGTAGTTTCACGGAGAGCCTATTTGTGGTTGCTCAGGTGGGGTCATACACTGCTTGCAGAAATGGCCTGATCATAGCTCTATGAAACAATGAATTGGGAATGAAATCTTACCATGACACCTCTCTGTAGGACAGAAATGTTGCTTCACGTGTGCTAAGTTGAGATAATAATATTTCACATATTTATATACAGAGAATCACTCTCAAATTTAACCCAAGATAAGCAATAGCATTTGGGGATGACTTTTATGCATTTCTAAAAACACTTTTCTTTCTTCTAGAGGTCACTCTCAAACACTGATACATCACTATAGTTTGAGTGTAGGGATTCAGTAATGAAAGGCTGTTACTGCAAAAGAGCCAGGCAGCTGGACAATTTTTATGAGGAATGTCCACTTTAGCAGAGAGATTTAAGACTGGATTTCTAGAATAATCCACAATGGAGCCGAGGGACATGATCTTCAAATATCTTTGGCTACTGTTTCTTGGTAATGCAATAATTTTTGAAAGACAAAATATAAAGTAACCGTTGCTACTATGTTTCCTTCCACCTTATAACACTCAAAACTTTCCTGAAAATGAGAAGAGAAATGAGAAAATGACAAGCTATTGGAAAGAAAAATCTCTGATCCCTAGGTCACCAATTTAAAATGGGTGAATAATTTCCATTCAATGTCTTCTCAGTGAAGTTATCCTAATTTCCCAGAAAACCCATGCAAAGCAGTTTTAATGTTCTATCCTTTTCTTCCCCCATTCTTCTATAATATTCATCATTTGGTGACCAGATATACAAATTCACAAAAAGTGATATTTTCAGACAATCATTTGTTTGATCCCATAAATGATACAAAAAATTTTTAAAAACCTGCTTACTGAAAAATAAGGGACCGAGTGCCTAAACAAAAAGGAAAGACACATGTCTTCCTTCAATCTGATTAGCTAAGCTGAGCAGGTACTTCATCGGCCAAACCCTCCCGCAGCTGCTAGGGAACACAGAGCCGTATTTACTCCACGGGGCATAGCCCCACCAAAGGCAAGCTTTCTTCTTTTTTTGGCAGGGCCCTGAAATGGGAAGCAACTCTTCCTAAACATATTCAAAGGGCCAGAGCTACAGAATGGGACTTGTATTTTTGTTTCTCCCTGCTGATTCTCTGTGTGTGCATGTCTCTAATTTAACAAGCTGTAAATACATTCCACTTTGGGGACTCATCTCTGTACTGCAATTTCATGAAGGCTAACACATACGAGTCAAAGTTTTTCAAAACAATGGTCTCCTAAGAATGCTCTTGCATGCACCTGTGCAACCTGACGGGGGAAATAGGCCACACAGACCGTCTGGGTCTTCTGTGGGACATCACATCCTCCTACAAATGAGAATCTCATGTAAGAAAATCCCATGTCTTTGTTTACCACAAGTAATTAAGAAGAAAAGCCTCTTTTGTTGGGGAGGAAACAGAGCTGATATGACTAATGTGTATATATATATATTTATATACATACAGAGCACAATGAAAAGCACAACCTTGCTAAAAGCTCTTTCAAACTGAAAACACCAATAAAAGCTTTTTTTCTTGTTTGTCTGTTTGTGGTTTTGTTTAAACTCACAGCTATATACATTTTTAATTTTTACAAAGTTTCTTAAATATAGTTCAGGCTGGCAAAACACCTCTTTGCACAGAACCATACAGATTTCACTGCATAGTCCATTCTTTTATTTTAATAATAAATTTCTACGTTTCCTTCTCTCTGGATTACAGCTCCATGTGCTGGGCAAAAGCCCATTGACGCTTTCTTCACTTAAGGAGAGCCATCCATTGTGTGGCACAGAAAGAAATGTTTACATTTCCATTGTAATTAAAAAATATTCAGTGTCCTTGGGTGAGTTTCAGAAGTGTCAGCTGCTTCCATGATGTTAGAAACACCCAGGTCCTTGAAATGGTGATGTCCTATCACACTAAACATCGGTTGGAGTGGTAGAGATCTTAAAGCAGTATTTTAACAGAAATGTGTACCTTTCACATTTCATAGGGTCAGAAGTCGATCTCGTAATACTGGAAAACACCAACGAGAAGGGTCTGCTGGGATGGGATGACTGCCTTTTTGCATTTTTGTCTTAAGTCAGTGGGACAAAAACATTCCTGGTTTGGAGACTTCCTTTCTCTCTTTCTTCATCTCTTCTACGTTGCTGAGCAGGTGGTGCAGAGGGATAGGAGGGGAAATACGGCCAAGCTATACTCTAGTGGTGGAATGTCCGTGGGGTAAATTTGTACTGTTTTGTCCTCCACTGAAGGTGTTAAAAGTGTGCAAAGGCTGCATCCCCGTCAGTGTGTTTGGAATCATGGTGATGGTGTTTGGCGTCATAAGTGGGATATCATCTGGCGACCGGCGCAGCGTGAGGGTGTAGTCTGGTGGGCAGGTGAGCCTCAGCGTGTCGTGTGCCTGCAGCGACTCACACTCGTGATCGTGTTCCAGCTGCTTCATCTGCAGTGACATGATCTCTTCGTTCTGGATGTGAGCGATATCATTTGTGGTGTTTCTCTGGGGACTCGGGCGCCTGTGAGTCTCATGGCGCCTCTTGTCCTTTTTGTAGTACAGAGCCGCAAAGGCTAAAATGTTGAGGAAGAGGAGCGATGCCCCGACGGCAATGGTGACACTTAATTCAGTGGAATAATCCCGTTTGGTTTCAATGAGGACAGTTGTGTCCTCGGGCCCCGTTTTGTGAGGGTCCTTAGAGTGTTTGGGATTGTTGGCAGGAGTGATTGCTGGGCGTTTGGTCGTTGGCCATATCTTGGCAGGAGATCGGCGGGTACCATAGGGAAATGATGTCATGTCTGGAGGAGGAACCTTTGTGGTTGTTGAAACATACTGGAATATCTCGTTCAAGTTGTGTAAATGAGGAACGAGTTCCAACCAGAAAGCCACTTTCGTTGCCCGGTAGTGATCTCTCACTCTGGGTTTCAAGCCTATATGCAGGTAGAGCTGGTCTTTGGGATTATACTTGGACCAGGCCACTTCTTCAAAGCGGTTGGGTTTTGTGTGAATGAACTTGGTATCCTGAGGAACTGGTTGATTTGGATCACTGGGGTAGAAGGAAGAAAAAAAAGAAAGGTCATACTCTTCCACATGTGACATGAAATTATCTTAAACCAATAAATCAGGAAGTTACAATCTGCTCTTCATATATATTTTTCAATGAGCACAAAATATCCAAGCAGCAAAGGTACATTCTGCTTTAATCCTAGACATGTCTACCATGTTGTCTTTTCCCTTAAAAACTGCTTATTTTTCTTTTAAATATAAACCCTGATAGCAATATTATGGCATTTTTATAACATGTCTACTATTTTTAAGGCATCAAATGATCTTCAAAAATAAAGGGAAAAAAGGAAAACTAAGTGTCTCTAGGAACAATTTCAGTATTTCAAGTTTCACTCTCTTGAACTGGAAAACTCATCCAGGAGGGATTTGCTCCAAAGGGATATTTGGCAAGGTCTGGAGACATTTTTGGTTTTCATAGATGAAGAGTTGTTCTATGAAGGGTGGAGGTCAAGGATGCCACTAAACACCCTCTGGTGCACAGGAGAGACCCCCACAGCAAGGAAGTTATCTGGACCCAAATGTTAACAGTACTGAGGTTGAGAAATTCTGATTAAGAAGCTATTGTTCAAGAAATGGGCATTCTCTTTCTTGCTCAAGAATTTCTTTGGAAGTAAATGAATAAATGTTGCAGTTTTAGCAATGAAAATTGATATTAACAGTCAAAAATTGGTTTTATAATTAGAAAATGTTTGTAAACAGGCATACACACCATGTGTTTGCTCTCTATTTGAAAGTAAAATACCTAGTCTTCAAAATACCTTTTGAAGACTAAGTCCGGAAAACATGAAAGCACGCTATGTTAGCTGTAAGAAGTTTGCTAAAATGGTACATATAGTTATGATGAGGTTAACATGTTTAAGATAAATAAGACACCCGGAAACAAGCTGAGGGCTGTTACAGATGCTAAGCTGTGCTTGGAAAGTATGAGCCAAAGAATTATCTTATTATTATTTGCACAAGTGGGCACAGGTAGAAGGAAAATCATAAAAATTTGGAGATAATTCATAAAACATAGGGCCTTTAATAAACATCTTTGCAACCAACTCTCTTAGGATAACACTTCCTCTTCAAAAAACAAATTACCAAATGCTAATTTCTTCCAGTTTTTGACGGTTTGTAAAGTAAGCTACAAAACAGTTACATCTTAAGGTTTATTTGTTATAAGAAAGATTTGAGATTACGCATGGTAAAATGTTATGTACTAGTTAGTACTGAACATTCAGATGTGATGTGCAGACCCAGGCAAGCAGGGAGTTGCAACATTCTGATCAATGGCTCCAGGTGTGAGCTAAGATCTATCTTCCCGGTAACTTCTCCTTGGCGGCACTTTTGTGACACTGCCTCCAACCATTGCATGGCCTGCATGGCAGAAGGCTGCAGGACCAAGGAAGATCATGTATCTGTAGCCATTACCAGACATTGTGCAGGATCCAAACAATATACTTGACTCAGAGGTGACACATTTGCTAAAGGAAGATTTTATCCCCTCAGTCTGAGTCTGTGGTGATGATAAATCATTTCCCTGTATTCAACTTTCTGCAGCTCTGGCTAGTTAACAGCTGTGAAAACTTGAGCAAGTTTTCCAGCCAGTATTGGCCTTAACTTCTCTACATGGTGGATGAGAATATCAGGGTTGGAGGTAAGTGATGAAGGTTGAAAGATAATGACAAAATGTCTGGCATATGGTAAGAATTCAGGAAATATTATCCCCTCGCTTTCAAAATAAAAATTAGAACACCTACAATATTGCAAGGGAGGGAGAACTAGGGAGTGATATACTGTGTATCAGAGTACATACTGTATTTCTATATTGCATACATTGTAGAGTGTATAAAAGTATATTGTATATTACATACTATATACAAGGATACTGTATAGCACAGTTTATACTGTATACTAACTGTATACTATATGCAGTATATATATGTGTGTATATTATGTGGGTATATATGTGTATGTGTATATCTATCTATAGATATAGATATAAGATGTATAATGTAATACAGAAGAAAAAGAAAGTTGACCTCTACCTTTTAGTTGAATGCACACTAACTGCTGTGTTTTCACTTTACTAAGAGGGTGAAAACAAATATATATAATCTGATAGGTTCTAATACCATGAGTTTTCGTATTTACTGATAAACAATATATTTGAAAAGTCTTCTGCTTTTTTATTTATTATACATGTATTCTTATATGGTTTTGAAAAAATGTTGGATTCAATGCAACATCTCATGTTTCTTGTGCTTCTTTAAGCTTTCTGAAATAATTTTAAAATTTTCAGTTATTTAATGTGTGTTAAAAGAAAAATAAGTGAATAAATATTTTAGGAAAAAAATCCACTAATATTAGTTATTGATTTTTAATATTCTAAAGAAACAAATGGAAGTGAAGATTCCTCCTTTTTTTCCATGGATCCAATTTTACTGAATTGGGTCTATTAGATGTGTGGCTGTATCATCTATTATGCAGTGAGCATCTAGGAGATGGAGTATTCTGTTCATTTTGGGTACTAGGCTATTTTTGAAGGAACTCAGGGTATATTTGAAAGGTAAAGAAAACACATTTAATTTGTTCTTGAAGAATAAAGCAGAGGATTTGGAAAATCCACAAAAGTGAGCTGCCGCCTGATACGGTCTGTCTATTAAAGATCTCAGAGATGCACAGCCAGAATTCTTAAACCCAGATACACTTGTGGAGATTATGATAGCCCAAGTCATTCTCCCTTACCAAACCCTCCAGACAGTGAGACCTAGATGTGGGGTGTCAGTGTTTTGTTTTTTAGATTTTATTCAGCATAAGGACTGTTTAAACTCCTGTGAGTAAAATTAAAGATTGTAATGACTGAGGATAGAAACACAAGTTGGTCTCTCCAGTAAAAGACTCAATGCATGTCTCTCTCCTTATCCCCCAGCACCTAACACGGCCATTTCCCCCTGCCCTGTTTTATTTGAGATGTAATCTTGGCAGCAGAGACTCAAGTGCATTTCTAAGGCCTAGTTCATTTCTTTAGCTAGAGATGGAATATAGTACTATGATCTCTCTAAAAATGTCTGTGAATCCTCTCAGCTGGTCCTTTAAGTAGCACAGGTTTTCCTTATACCCAAAACATTGTTCGCAGTTAACGATCTGTTACCAAACTAGTTTATTATGCATTCAGTGACTCCTCTGCCACACCAGGTGGGGATGTTCATTCATTCAGCTTAAAATCCCTTTTTGGTAATAAAGGTTGCCTTTACGGCCAGAATTATGCTGCAACTCTGTAACCCATCCCCACTAAATACCTCATTGTAACTTCTTTCTTTCCCAAAGATTTAACAATAGTTGAATATAAATTAATCATAGGATACCAGCACATTCAAAAGCAGTGATGGCATCTAATGCAAACAGGATAGAAATCAATCTGCTGTACAAACCCCAGATTTGATGGAACAACATAAAAAAATCAAAATATGTGTTGACCTGATTTTTCCATTACAAAACTCTCTTCTCATTTCTGACTTCCAATAGCACATAAGGTCTTCTACTATATTATTATAATGTATTGTTTGATTACTTTAAAGCACTGTTCTTTGTCATACCTTATAAATAAATCAAGATTCCCCTACTCCTTTTTGTCCATCTCTTTCCACACAGACCTCAAAATGAAAGAATCCTGGATCAATGAGCACCTAAATTTTGTTGATCAGCTTGGCCAAACCCCTTTTCTCCTATTCCCAAAGTAATTTTACAGGAAAAGGACTTTAATGCTCTAGAACCCTTTTCAAACTTCAGAATTAGTTTTCACTTTTCCTTGACGCTGCTCAGAGTCAAGGAAAGATGTACTTTTCCAAAAATGGTCTCAATCTACCTTATTTCTACAATGCCTCTGCATGTTTGAGCTTACACGGTTCTCTTGCAGCATGATTTTAGTCCTCTGACCTGGACTAACATTGAAACTCCTCCTTGCTACAGGGGAGAATCCCGCTCAGGCACAGGCCTGGGCAACTGCTTCCTTATTCAAAACAATAATAAAAAAGAAATAGCAAGGATTACTTGAGGCCCTGGCATTCACTGATTTCAATATCCTGTCTTGATCAAGGTTTTCATAATTTAGAGCCCCGGCAGGGACTTCCTCCTCATTTCTACTCTGTGTACTCGCTGCCTCCGCCTTTCCAAGATGGGAGAACCCTCTCACCTAATGCTACCGTGAAAATATGCAGCTGACATGATCTATAAGCAAGGATCCAATTGTCCCTCCCTTCCTCCTTCTTTCCTTCCTCCCCTCCTCCCTTCCCTCATTTCTCTTTCTTACCCTCCTTTTCCCTGTTTTCCTTCTTTCCCTCCCTCCCTCCCTTCTTCCTCTCCTCCCCCATCCCCTTTTTTCTTTTTCCTCCCTCTTCCTTCCTTCCTCGCTTCCTTCCTTCTTTTTCTCTCCCTCCATTTTTTTCCTTCCCTCCCTCGCTACTCTTTCTTTCCTTCATCTCTTCTTTCTCCCTCCTCCATTCCTCTCTTGCCTCTTTTCTTTCTTTCCTTTCCTTCCTTCCCTCTTTTCTTCCTTCCTCCCTTCCTTCCTTTCACCTTCCCTCCCTCCTTCCTTCCCTTCTTCTTTCCTTCCTCTCCTCCTCCCTTCCCTCTTTCTTTCCCTCCTTCCTCCCTTCCTTCACTCCTTTCTTGATTCCCTCCCTCCCTACTTTCTTCTCTTCTTCCCTCCCTCCCTCCTTCCCTCCCTTCCTTCCTTTGTCCCAACTCTCTTTCCTTCATTTCCTCCCTCCTCCCTTCCTTTCTTTTCTCTGCCATTAACATCCCAACATAATTTTTCTGTGCCCATCCCAAATCCAAAGGTTTATGTATACCAGGTATACGCGCCTTCAAACCTAGACTAAAGGTCAGAACCATCTGCTTTGAGATGTCTGCATAGAAGCATCCAGACACCATCCTCCTCATCTCGGCAAACACGTGCGCCATTGAGAGACTGTGCTGTGTCTGCAGGTTTAGAACGCCTGACATAACGCCCACTGAGAGTGGTGAAGCATGTCCTGGCACAATGCGATCCTCTCTCCACGGCACCGTGTAGTGACAGACACGCTGGGAGCTATTCTTGTTTCCTCCTGTCACCTCCAGTGCTGGAAGGGAACAGTGATGGTATGCAGAAATATGCCCTCCTGTTCTGTGAGTCATCGTCTGAGTGTGTGCTCTGCAGAACGGCGTTAAACTTGGCAGCTCACAGGATGACAACAGATAAGGTGCATCCCATACTTTCTCCTTACGGGCATCAGGTTGGTTCGTTCTCTGCACCTGGTGACCAGGGACTCCTTCTCTGCCCTGGAGTGATCGGGCCACCACCCAATTTACAATAAACAAATAACTAGCAACTGCAACTGAGGTCCTTGTCATCCACTGACGAATGCCTAGCTCACCAGACTGTGCCTGACGGTGATATTCCCCATTTCCTTCTTTTATGGAGCTGCCATGGAGGTGTGATCACTTAATCTATTTGTATTTGAATCCACACGTTGCATTTCACATGGGATGTAAGTTCTGAGTAACTTCCTTGAGGAATCATTTGAGTCATTCTAATACCTTTTCAATGAATTAAAAGAGCTCACTGCATTAATACACTCAGTGTTATTTCAGGGATGTTTCCCATGGGCGGAAGAAACAAAAATAGAGGCTTCAGACGGACTGACATTCGAGCTCTGGGTACCTCAATGAACTCTCTCTACCAGCAGCTTTTGATTTCAGTAGCATCAGAGTGTTTCTCCAAGTTCCAGCAGTAATTCCTTCCTCATCTCTTCCAGTCCTGTCAGGGCCTTCATGAAAGCTAGACGAACCCTCAACACAGACCATGAATGGCAACATGAATGTATTCCCTAAATGCAGGGGGGAAACCACAGGCTCTAAGCCAAGTGGTTTTAAGAAACAGATTCATGGCATGAAAAAGCACTCAATAACAGAGAGAGCACTGTGGTATTCTCACGGCTCTCTCAGACCTTCATGATGTCTTGGTAAAAGCATCCATTTGGTGCCAGCAGTGATAACGATCACCTCATGGAACTAATTAACTTCCTTTATCTTTTTCTGTCTTTTTTCCTTTTTTTAATAATGAGAGAGCCAGTCTCAGTCTCACAGCCCTTGGGAGTCAGGAAGAGCTAATGAGAATTTAACAGCATTATTTAGATTTCACTATTGCTTTAATGGTTCTATAAAATGTATGAGGAATGATTCTAGCTTTCCACTTAAGATAATCATATAAAGTTTATTTTCAAATCATGTAAGGAGGAAAAGAAAAAGCATATGGTTTTAATGAAAGTAAGTAAAGAGAGTGTTTACAGACCAAGTCAGTAATACCTTTAGATGCCAATGTAGTGAAGATTGAATGAGTATAGCCATGTTGATGGAAGTCTTTAGGCTTCAAGAAGATGAAATTCTCTGCAAGGGCAGACACCACTTATCTTAGTGCTGTCACAAAAGAGGGCCTGGCCCTGGCTTCACAAGGTATTAGAGATTGAATACTGTCTCCCCGTAAAGTAAGATACGTTGAAGTCCTAACCCCAGTACCTCAGTATGTGAGCTTATTTGGAAATAGGGTAACTGCAGATATGACTATTTATGTTAAGATGAGGTCATACTGGAGTAGGGTGAGCTTCTAATGCGCCTTGGCAGATGCTCTTATAGGAAGACAGCCATGCGGAGACAGAGACACACAGGGAGGCCGTAAGATGACAAACACACAGAGTGGGGTGGTGCAGCTGCAAGGCACGAATGCCAAAGTCTGCACCCAAACACGAGTAACTAAGAAGCAGCAAAGAAATACCTTCCTATAGCTTTTGGAGGGAACTTGGCCCTGCAAGCACCTTCATTTGCAACTTCTGGCCTTAGGAAGTGTAAACCGATAAATTTCTGTTGTTATAAGACACACACTTTTTGGGCTTTTTTGTTTGTTTTTTTTTTTAAGACAAAGGTTTCGTTCTGTCGTCCAGGTTGGAGTGCAGTGGTGCAAACATGGCCCACTGCAGCCTCGACCTCCTGTGCTCAAGTGATCCCTCTGCCTCAGCCTCCTGAGAAGCGGAGACTCTCGGCCTATGCTACCATGCCCAGCTAAATTTTTTCATTTGTTTTGTAGAGATGGACTCTCACTATGTTGCCCAGGCTGGTCTTAAACTCGTGGCTTCCTCAGGCGATTCTCCTGCCTTGGCCTCCTAAAGTACTGGGGTCACAGGCATGAGCCACTGCACCCAGCACAGACATACAGTTTTTGATACTCTGATAACAGCAGCCCTAACAGACTAATAAACAAGGTTTACTTTAAAAAAAAAAAAGTATAATTTGATTTCAACAATTTATTCACACAAGAAAGAACCTTTCAGTGATAGACAAGCATTTCCATCAAATGTGGGTCCCTCCTCCCTTCTCCTCCAGGTAGCCTTTCTCAGACCAAATCTACAAAGCCTGATTATTGAAAGTTGGTGTCCAGGTGATACCTTTTCCACTACAAAAACATGCTGTACTTTTGCCAAGAGCACAAAACATTCTTAAACCACTCCCCACCCAAACCACTTTGGAATCTTTGTACAGTATGCCAGCTGCTAAACACGTAGGCATTGAAACCACCAGCATCCCCAGATCTTCTAAGGATTACTGTGCATAACTCATGTGTGGCAGGGCCACTGCAGTCTCAGAGCCTCATTCCGCATGGGAAGATTTACCCTCCCTGGGCGACAGGCACATCTCTCTCTCTCTCTCTCATTCAGTGTAAAGAGGCTCAGGGTGACGATGGAGGCACACACTGGTAGAACAGAATGACACCCCATCCATTTCCACAGTTACGTTATTAGACAAGAGAAAATGAAAAGATGCCACAATGTCTGGAGCTATTTAGGATGTTTTGTGTTCTTTTCTCCCATGGTTTGCAGAGAATCCGCTCAGCAGAATATTGGCAGACTCGGTTGTATATGTGCTTTTTGTATATTTTATATTTTCTACTATATTTAGGCCAATAAATGAGCTTTCCTGTGAGATACACATATATGTGTGTTTGTGTGTGTGTGTTTATATATGCAAGCCATATAGCAATATGATACAAATATCATATATTTTATTTGCTCTATCTCTATAGCTATTTATATAGCAAAGAAAATACAAATATATATTGTGTATGTATATACATATTTGTATTTGTATATATAGTATATATACTATATATAGTATTTGTATATATAGTATATTTATTTGTATTTGTATATACAAATATATTTGTGTGTGTATATATACAAATACAAATATATATGTACTATATATTATACATATGGGAATATCTATATTTTTATAGAGACATTAAATATATATAGGAATATATATTTATATTTCTGTATAATTATTATGATATGTGTTTTCATTCCTATGGCCAGGCAATCAACACAATTCCCCAAGTGGTGCATGTGCTGTGATACCCTCACAAATTAACAAAAGAGATATGGTTGAAATTAGACTTAAAACTCTGTAATCAGGGCTGGCGTGGTGGCTCACACCTGTAATCTCAGCACTTTGGGAGGCTGAGGTGGGAAGATCGCTTGAGCCCAAGAGTTTGAGACCAGCTCGCGTGACACAGCAAAACCCTGTCTCTAACGAAACAAAATTAGCTGAGTAAGTTGGTGTGCATCTGCAGTCCCAGCTATTCAGAAGGTTGATGTAGGAGGATCCCTTGAGCCCAGGAGTTTGAGAGAAGCCTGGGCAACATAGCAAACCTGTCTACAAAAATCCATGTAAGGGCATGGAGGTGCACGTCTGTAGTCCCAGCTACTCAGGAGGCTGAGGCAGGAGGATGGCTTGAGCCTAGGAGTTCAAGGCTGTAGTGAGCTATCGTTGCACCACTGCACTCCAGCGTGGGCAACAGAGTGAGACTGTGTCTCTAAAACAACAAGAACAAAAACAAAAACAAAACCGTTTAATCAGCTATTAACAGAACCGTCCTATATGTATGAGTCCTGCACCTGCAGGTAGGAACTCTGGAATTCCCAATGGGCAATTAGAACTCTAGTAAAAATCTGGTTTGACAGTTGTTTTACTCCTATAACACTTTAGGAGTAAAGAAAAAAATGAGTTCCATAGATGTTGCGGGAGAAGCTGCCTGTTACTGCGTGTGTAAGCGTATATCTGTGTGTATATGTGTGCACACATGTGTATGTGTGTGTACGCACGTGTGCTCCTGCAAGTGGCAGTAGAAGCAATACCTATATTGAGGACCCAAACAAGTGACGAGGATAGCGATACCCCAGCACGAAGAAGAACGTACCCAGTTTTGGCGAAGTTCGTCCAGTAGGTCATGACCACGGCGCTGAGCATGACGTCGTTCTTGGAGAAATTACAACTGAAGAGCTCGGTGGGACCGACCATGGGGATGCCGAAGACGTAGGGGACCTCATCGCCATGGGCCGAATCCGCCCAGCTGGGCTTCATTTCGCTTTGGCAGTGATGATAGAAGGCATAGAAGTAGGTGGGGGAGCCGTACTGCGCGTGCAGGTCGGCGGTGGCCACGGCGGGGGCCACCCACTGGTGGTCAGTGAAGAGAGCCACCAGCGTTTTCCGCCGCGTCTCCGGGTTTTCCTTATCGGCCCAGTCTGTGTACATGAACTTGATAGTCTCGCGCAAAGTGTCTTTCCCTTCAGGATAGCCGTAAAGGTTGTCCACGAAGTTGGACACGGAGAAGTCAAAGTCATTGGGCGTCACACCGTCCTCGTTATCCACGATGCCGTCCACGAACTTCAAGCCTTCCCCTTGGTTGACGCCCAGCATGATGTCATAGTTGAGGAACTCGCCTTGCTCCATCAGGATCTGAGGGTCGTCTGGGATGACGTCGCCGTCAATCACGGGCCCGAAGGCTATGTGGTAGGTGGCTGGGGTGATGGTCTGCTGGATGAGCTCCTTGTAGTTCTTGTTCCGCAGGCATTCTACCATGTCCGTGGTGTCCAGCATGTTGCAGCCGACCTTGTCTGCCAATATCCGAGTGTACTTGGCCGGCTGGTAGTTCACTGCCCAGCTGGACAGGGCGGTGCCGCTCTGAATGATGGCCTTCTGGAAGAGACCTGCAGGTGCAAAATTGTGGACATGCAAATGAAAACCCGCAGGACAGAAACGCAGCTTTTACTGAGCAATGAAGGCTGTGATTGTCTCTCAGGCATGTGAATTTCTGGACGTAGTAGCATTCAACTCTGTCAGGGGACCTTTTACCCATTTTCATTTCGATTTCCCCTTCCCCCCTCCTCCTGAACATTCATTTTAGGCAATGTTATTCTACACACACAGACACACACACACACACGAGTTTAAGGAAATGAAACCACATTTACACTTTTCCTGCACTGGTAAAATACATGTGATTTCTTTTTCCTTCCACAATCCAGTGTCGTTTTTGCTTCCTTGCCTCCAGATGCCATATATAAAAACTCCAACAGCAACTGCATTCCCCATTTCCAAGAAAAAAAAAAATGCTTTAAGCTAGTAAAAGGTCAAAGGCCCTCTTGTCTCACAAGCGAAACTAGGTATCTCTTCATTATGGGAAAAAAAATAAATCCACTTGAATCAACTTCAGAGTATTAATTCAGGAATGCATTTCTACTTATACCTTGAGTCTAATGAAGATATTAAGATCTGGCAATTAAAATAAATACATTGAGTTAGCTATGCTTAAAGAAATCCTCAACTGGGTGCCTAAATGAGTATTTTTTGAAGTCACTTCTTTCAAAACTACATCCATTGGAAACTCAGAGATGTGTATATTTTATTTTGCCACATATAAAAAATGCTTTGCTTGGTGAGAAACTTGAAAAAGCATGGGTAATTTTAGGAGTAAAATTCTGTGTAGCTTAAAATTCTCCATGAGTTCAGTCTACTACATGGATGTCCAGAAGTATAAAATCTGTATTTTTAACCACGACAGGACAAGAGAGGCGGGCTGTAAAAATCAGCATTCCATTTACGATCGCTTCCCGCCGTTTCCGTGGATCCCAGCCCGAGTCGGGCACTAAAGAATAAGGCATTCAGCTGTGAGTCCAGAAGTTCATGCCCTGTCGATTTTTAAGGTCACAGAAGCAATCAAATATGAGGAAAATATGATAGTCATCAGGAAGATGTGATTTTAAAGATTGGAGGATTGCCCAAAGATGACACATAGGACTGCAACTTGAAACCAATATGGCTTTGACCAAAATGTCATCAAAGCCATCTTGGGAACGTTTCTGTCAGAAATGTGCAAGTATTGACTTGCATGCTTGGCTCTGAAGATTATTTTAAAATGTCCAAACAAAAAAACAAAAACAAAAACAAAAAAAACCAAAAAAAGTCAATATGTATTCAGTTGGATACTTTCAGTAGTTAAAACATTCAGAATTGGAAAAAATGCCATGAGAAGTTCCTTTCCTGCCTTTCTCATAACTACTGGCAGTAATTTAGGCAGTAGTGTATATATAAGTAGCATACATAAAACATTTATTTGTATGTTAGGGAAGCAGTATAACTCCTGAGAAGACTAAAATAGTTGGATAATGAAAAAAAATCACCCATAATTCATACTTTAAAACACAACTCACCTTAGCATAATGAGTATGCTAGGAGTTCACTTAATTCTTAGCTCTTTCCCCCCATTCAAATGTCTGTTTTGCATAGCTGAGCCCAATATTTATATAGCTATCTACACTGTGTTTTTCCAGCTGATGTAGATCTTAGGTAAATTCTTAAATTATTATTATTTTGAGTAAATACATATGGTTCATTATAATTTTCCTCTCCTTTTGATCTTGTAGCTTTTCATTTCATTCTTTGCTATGATACTAATACTGGGGTGAATATCTTCATAAAACTATCACTTTCCACGAGTACTTTGTCTTCATTAGACCACATAACCAGCAAGGAATTCCTAAGGCAAACAGTCTGGGTATTTTTATTTTTATTTCAGACAGGGTATCACTCTGCTACCCAGGCTGGAGTGCAGTGGCAGGATCTCGGCTCGCTGCAGCCTCTGCCTTCCAGGATCAAATGATCCTTCCACCTCAGCTTCCCAAGTAGCTGGGACTACAGATGTGTCACTTTTTTGTAGAGACAGGGTTTCGCCACGCTGCCCAGGCTGGTCTTGAACTCCTGGACTCAAGCAATCCGCCCACCTCGGCCTCCCAAATTGCTGGGATGATAGGCAGGAGCCTGGCTTGCATTTTTCATAATTCTTGATTATATTGATGGGCTGTTTAGAAGCATGCCGTGCAGAAATGACTGATGCAAAGGTATAATAATTTCCAACCTATTGACTTAAATAATTAACACCTCCCTCCAATTAATGTGGCTTACATGTGTTTGATTACTCCTAAAGTTGGTTCTGACTGCTTTCTAAATCTACAATTGTGATTGTATCAATTGAGAAAAGTGAAAATCTAGGTATCTTCAAAAATGCCATATAAATCTCTCTACCAAAGGGTTCATCAGATTCTTCACTTTTCCTGTTTTTGAAATAAAGTTAATACAAACATGAGCCTTTCCTCTTATTAGCACTACTAGGAGATCAAAGGCTATTTGGTCTCACGGGCAAAGCATTATGAACTAAAAACTCAAGGAATTTAGAGTTTGGAGGATTTTAGGAAACCCTCATCTGTCCTATCTTGGAAATTAAGACACTGAGGAGCATAGTGATCCAGAAACTCGTCCAGATGGTGCTGGAAGTGAAGAAAGTCCTGCAGTTACTCTAAAGAAACATGCTTTTTAATTGTATGTATTTATTTATTCATTTATTTATGTTGGGACAGGATCTCACTCTGTCACCCAGACTGAAGTGGAACCTCACAGTTCACTGCAGCCTCAACATCCCTGGCTCAAGCAATCCTCTCACCTCAGCCTCCCAAGTAACTGGGACCACAAGCAAGTGCCACCAGGCCCAGCTGGTTTTTATTTTTATTTTTGTACAAAAGGGGTCTTGCTACGTTGACCAGGCTGGTCTCAAACTCCTGAGCTCAAGCCATCCTCTCCCCTCAGCCTCCCAAAGTGCTGGGATAACAGCCATGAGCCACAATATCCAGCTGGTAACTTTAAAAATAATAATTCCAGAGGTCAAGGTGGGTGGACCACTTGAGGTCAGGAAGTTCAAGACTGGCCTGGCCAACATGGTGAAAGTCCATCTCTACTAAAAATACAAAAATTAGCCAGGCACAGTGGTGGGCACCTGTAATCCCAGCAACTCGGGAGGCTGAGGCAGGAGAATCGTTTTGAATCCAGGAGGTGGATGTTGCGGTGAGCCAAGATTGTGCCACTGCACTCCTGCCTAGGAGACAGAGTGAGAGTCCCTGAAAATAAAAAAAAAATTCCATGAAGGTTTTGAGAACTTCAGGTTCAGTCAGTGTGGTGCCATTCTGAAGGCCACTGACGATACAGAACACATTACAAAGCTGTCTTGATGACTGAGATGGCTATTAGGGATATTCATTTGCACGTGGCCTGGTAACCCAGGGCTGGATCTGCTCGGCAGATTTTCCTGCTTCTTCCTTTTAGGCCACAGCCAAGAATTTGCGATCCTGTTTCCAGAACCAATTGCCTCAAATTCCTGTGGACTCCCCTTTGAAGTCTCCCATCGGACACTGCAGGGAGCCTCCTTCACAAAGGGACAGCACGGAATCCACCGAGTGAGCCTCCGGGGAAAGCCTCAGTCACGCCTGCAGGGCTCGGGCTGTGGCTGCCTATGCTGACCATTACTTAGGCAGCATAACCATCTGCCTAAGTGATTACTCCTGATCTTGAACTCCTGGACTCAAGCAATCCGCCCACCTCGGTCTCCCAAATTGTACATCTGGTTGGGTACGGTTGCCTATGCTGACTACCTGTCCAAGTGCACGTCTGGTTGGGTACGGTTGCCTATGCTGACTACCTGTCCAAGTGCACGTCTGGTTGGGTACGGTTGCCTATGCTGACTACCTGTCCAGGTGCACGTCTGGTTGGGTACGGTTGCCTATGCTGACTACCTGTCCAGGTGCACGTCTGGTTGGGTACGGTTGCCTATGCTGACTACCTGGTCTGGTTGAGGTAACATGATGCACATGTGTTTTTGCGGTTTCCTCTTTCTCTGCTTTGCCAACATCAGCTTTTTCCAGGGTAACACCAGGGCCCCAGGGAGGGTTTGGAGCTCCCACAGGGATAAGCAGAGGACCTCAGGCTGACTGACGCAGCAAGGAGGTCCTTCCTAAAAGTCATATTTGCAGGAGAGAGAGGAAGGGAGAGGGGAAAGCAAACTGTGGACACCTCCTAGTGCTGCATGCTGACCTGACCAGGAAGGAGGTCCTTTGCTGAAAGTTGTATTTGTAGGAGAGGAAGAAAGGGAGGGAGAGAGAGAGAAAGAAACAAAGAGAGGGACAGAGGGAGAGGGGAGAAAGGGAGAGAGGAAAGGAGATAGTGAGGAAGAGAGTGGGGAGACAGAGAGAAGGAGAGAGAGGAAAGGGGGGGAAGGGAGAGAGAGGAGGGGGGACAGTGTGAGGGAGAGAGAGAGGGAGGGGGGAGAGACAGTAGAGGGAGGCGAGAGAGAGAGACAGAGAGAGTGAGAGACAGAGCAAAAGAGAGAGAGGGAGTGGGCGAGAGGGAGAGGGAGGAGGATGTAGAGAGGGAGAGAGAAGAGTGGGAGGGGAAGAGCAAGAAGAGATGGAGGGAGACAGTCAGGGAGAGAGACACTATTCCTCTGGGTAGAATCTACTTCTAAACAAATGCACCAGACATGTTTCAATATTTCCAGAAGATTTAAAGAATTAATATAAATTAGAGAAGTGACTTCTTAAAAAACATGTGGCTAAAAGCCCTGATGGTTACAAAATCTATACACCCGCATCCCTTATCCACATACTGTCTCTTCCATATCACTCTTACTAAGTTGTAGCTAGAAGTTAATAAAATTTCAAATAGTCAAATACAGTCAGAATGGCAAAAGAAACAAAAGTGTCGAGACTTCTAAAGTAGTTATTTTGTTCCAATCATTGTAACCAACACCTAATTGTCACACATTTAAATTAGGAGAAAAATATTGCTGACCAAGCATGGTGGCTCACATCTGTCATCCCAGCACTTTGAGAGGCCAAGGCAGGAGGATTGCTTGAGCCCACGAGTTTGAGACCAGCCCAGGCAAACACAGCAAGACCACTTCTCTATAAAAAGTTTAAAAAATCAGCTAGTAGTCCCAGGTATTCAGGAGACTGAGATGGGGGAAGTCTTAAGCCCAGGAGTTGGAGGCTGCAATGAGCTATGATCGTGCCACTGCACTCCAGCCTGGGTGACAGAGCAAATGGAACAAAAGCTGACTTAAAAGACATGAAGATGGATTCATCTGATCTTTTGGGCATTTTCTGTTGCCAGAGTGACTTCTAGCAACCCGGACATGCATCTGAGATATGAACTCTGACCATTCATTTCTTGGTTCAGTGCATTAGACTGTCCGCCCTGGGGGCGCCATTATTACCTTCTGAGTAGTGGGACAGGGTCAACAGGCTGACACAGGAGGCCCCGGCCCCCGAGCCAAAGATGGTCACTCGCTTGGGGTCCCCGCCAAAGGCTCCCACATTCTCCTCGATCCACCTCAGTGCTTGAATCTGATCCAGGAGCCCATAGTTGCCTTTTGCTGCCTGGTCACCGGTACTTAAAAACCCTACAAAAGAACACAAGACATTTTTGGTGGTCAAATATAAAAAGTGCATACACATCTCTGCTATTTGAAAAGATATCTCATAGCTTGTCTTCTTCATTCTCTCTCTCCTCAACCCTCACCCCCATAAATTAGAGGAAGAAGAGGAGAAAAAATGTTGTGGCAGAAATAATTATATAAATAATGGTTACTGTTTAGGTTGATGTTATGATACCATGGCATCTTTGGGTATACATGTGGCTAATATAGAAGGCAAAAGGAATCTAAAATATTAATAACATGAAGCGATCCCAGGAGACGTCGTAAATTTTACTAGGTTCAAGGCATCATTTCCGTGCACATTTTCATTTTCTTTTTTGAAAAATGCAACAGACTCCTACAAGAAAGTTTTCAGGGAAAACAGTACGTGTGTGTGGGGTGGGGGGGGGCAGTAGGTGTAAGTGCACATGTGTGTCTGTCTAAGAATATGTCCTTGTATATAAAGGCAGTGTGCGCCTGTTTTTCTCACTGAATTAGTTATTAACATTTTGTTTTAACTCCTTTTAACGCTTAAGAAACAAAGTAAGTTACAGACTCCACTAGATCCCACTCACAAATAGTATGCCCCTCTATTTTCCTACATAGCAAAAATATGAGTTACATACAAAAAAAATGTAATTATTGAACCTCACCCAAAAGCTAATGAATATTCACATCTCCCCAACTGTTCCCAAAATATCAGTAGCTGGCCCTCCTTATTTTAAAAGGAAGGATTCTGTGAGTTGAGGATCTAGATTTTACTCAAGGCATACAATTCTTAATTTCTCCTTAGTAGTTGAAAAATGGCAATTTTGGTATTAATGATAGCAAAGTTACGAGTTAATCTGTTTTACTGTTTGTTCCTTTCGCATTGAAAAAACAGCTTGACTTGGAAAAACTGTTTTCCTCTGATGTTTTGGAGTCATGTTTCAGAAGACATACACTCTCCTACTCAGATTCAAAACTAGGAATATTTTCTAAAGCATCCTGCAAGTTTAATTCATTGCATAAACTTTCACCCAACTTTATGTCCAAATCTGTACTAGATATGCCTTCCAAAAAGACAAAGAATTTTAAAAAGTTTTTTTTTAACCATTTCGCGTCCTTATTTGAGCCTTCCCCAAATACCCAACTATGATATCTGCCCCTTCTATACAATTTCTTTTTTCCAAGAGCTATGCCATTCACTCATTTCAAGGGATGCTTAGTACACAATTATGGCCACCTGCAGTCATGTTTGCATGAAGACAGGCTGCTTTAAGCCCTAAAATAACATCAAATCAATTCCTCCAAAGCACATCCCTAACCAAAGTTGATGGCATTCCAAGGAGTGACTGAGTGCTGGTTTCTACTTTTAAAACAAAAAGTAGAGGATGAGGCTGCATACCAATTGAGTCAACCAGCTTTTCTTCCATGAGCTTTCCTGAGCACCGGTGGAAAAATGCTCTGAGCTGGAAAGGAGGAAATGGCCTGGCTCCAAAGAAAGTCACAGGACGATTTTCGTTCAACAATGACAATAAAAATTCCAAGCCTGAATCAGGAGTCACTATCTCCTGCAGCTTCAAAGAGAAGCAGCGTTGCAACTGCGAGGTTGGATACTTAAGACACATCCTACCAATGCGATCTTCTTTAAAGTTCAGAGGGATGTGACGTGAGATTAGCTACGATTAGTGGGTACGTTCAGACATTACCCAAGTCTCCTCCCTATTTAATTAGCAATTACTAATTAGTGCTTCATGCCAAAAATGTTCTGTGACACCTATCTCCATCCCTACATCTTTGACACGGTCGTCCATAAAAAGCATCAGGCTTTGCTTGGGAGAAAAGATCCTTTCATGCAGGGTACATACGACAATGACGAATCATGTCAGTTTGGGTGCCCCATAATACTATAGGGCAATGCTTTCTTCCTCTATCAAAGAAAGAGGTGATTAATTCCTAAGGCACAAGCAATTTTCTAACAGAACAATTCTGTCTTCAGCACGTCTTTTCTTCACTCACTGTTCTCTCTTTCTCAATTCTGCAGAATGACCTGTTGGCTTATTTTGTTTCTGTGGAGGAGCATGAAGATTTTCCACACACAGTAAATCACTGGCCTTTCTTCCACCACCACCTCTTCCTCCCTAGCAAAACGAGAGTGTTTTAACCTTTCCCAAAGCAGGCTAAGGAATATTCCCTGCCTTCAAAAATCTTAGTTCTTCTAACAGCATCCTATTGGAGGGTTTGATCTTTGACGTTCTGAAATTCTTCCAAATATCCTACAGGCTGGCTGAGGGAAATGACAATCCATGGATCTCTTCAGTTTAACAAATGAATGTGCTGTTTTGAAGCTGGTGTTTCCACAGTTTCTGCCATGGAATTTTCATTTATTACAACATCCAGAGATTATTATTATTTTTCTTTTTAAACTATCAACAAGGGGGAGTGCCTGTTTCAGGTACACAATGAATGCAACAATTTTATGCTCTTTACAAGAGGTCCTTTCATCTTGAAACCACCTTTGCAAAACGTGTAACAGTCAGACAATTATGACAGTGAAAGAGATCGGACCTAACCAACTCCATCTTGCCTTTAACTTCCATACTGCTCTGGGCATGGGTCAAGCTAACTTTGGGAGAAACTGAACTTGTAGTTTAAATGATAATAGCCCCTCTTAAAATTAAACCGCCTTTGTAAAACTAATAAAAGGCCACCAGGTTAAAATATGAGAGGGGCCTGAATTCTGCTAAGATGTAGGCTTAGTTGAATGATTACCAGTCATTATTCCAGAGGTCACAAGATTTGCAACTTCCCCAATCACTAGAAGCTAAAATTTGCCTTTTTAAAACTTTTATTTTACGTTCAGGGGTATACCTGTAGGTTTATTATGTAGGTAAATTGCACGTCACAGAGGTTTGAGGTACAGGTTATTTCATTACCCAGGTAATAAGCATAGTACAGATTGGCCTTTTAAGATGTCTTTTCAGGCTTTTGCATTTCTGACAACTGATTGGTCCTACTGGGACCAGCGACTCCTCTGTGTCCCCACATAGAGGCCAACTGGGTGCACTAGGACTGTTTTCCACACCCCTATCATTGCAATCCTAAACCAATCAGCAGCACTCATTCCCTAGCCCCTGTCTGCCAAACTATTCAGGAAAAACCCGAGCACCATGTGAATTAATCCATGTTAATGGCTACATTGATGCCAAGTTTCATCCAGGGCCCTGGAAGGAACAACAATAACAAAAATACACACACAAGAGGTATCAACAGATATGTTCAGTGATCTGGTTTGGCTGTGTCCCCACCAAAATCTCATCTTGAACTGTAGCTCCCATAATCCTCATGTGTCATGGGAAGGACCCAGTAGGAGGTAACTGAATCATGGGGCTGGGTTTTTCTCATGCTGTTCTCATGATAGTGAATAACTGTCATGAGATCTGATGGTTTTAAAAATGGCAGTTCCCCTGAACACATTCTCTTGCCTGCCACCATGTAAGATGTGACTTTGCATCTACTTTGTCTTCCACCATGATTGTGAGGCCTCCCCAGCCATGTGGAACTATGAGTCTGTTAAACTTCTTTCTTTATACATGACCCAGTCTCAGGTATGTCTTTTTTAGCAGCATGAGAACAGACTAGTACATTCAGTTAGTATGGTTATTTAAAAACAGGTTTCATGGAAAAGAGGACTAAAACCAGGAATCACAGTTTTTCCTGCTGCATGTTGACTGAAGTGAATATCATATAAACGTGAGTATTTCTATTCAGGCTTAATATTGTTGTTACAACAGAAAAGTTTCCAATTTTTATTATAGATAATAATGTAGATGTTTCCTCTCATTTTGAATTATATCACAGGGCTTAGGAGAATAACTGCAGGTCTTTTGTTTCTCCATGCACTGCAAGTCAATGGTAAGGAACCCAATGGGGTCAGATATTGTTTTTCTTTCAATTAACAAAAGACATTGTTATATGACGTTAAAGCCACAATCCATTTTCTTTTAGGAGATTGTTCCTTGCATAAACACAGTAAGCACTTTTTTGGAGACAAGTAACCAGGAGACAATTAAGTGAATAAAGAAGTTAAATAAACCATTTCAGTGTGTGTAATTCACCTGGTATGTGTATATATATGCATATATAACCATATATATGTGTGTTTATAAATGTATATGTACACAGACATACATCTGTGTACCTTTAAACTAAAGAAGTGATATCAAACAAGAAATGTTTAAATAAAAATAATTCAATGAGAAGAAACAGAATTTGTGTTAGGTCATGCAAATGAGGTCAAAAAGAAATCGGGTGAGAATGAAAGCAGAAGCATAAAAAACAAAAATCAGTCAAATAGATGCAAAACTAATCTTTAACGGTTATAGGAAATCATTCAGGAGTTCATTTATTACAAGGTGAACCTTTAATTTTCTGATTGAAAACATGTAGGATTTAACACAGAAGCACACATTGCACAGGATGGGCTGGAAGGGAGGGACGCTGATGTACTGCATTCAAATTCTGTTGTCTGATAGGCACGGCTGCTTGAAATTCAGTGCCTTTTATTTTTAGTTTTTACTTAAAAATGGAATGAGTTGTATACAATCTCTAATTGTATCATGTTATCACATCAGTATTGCACAGAACCAAAGTCTATTTCCAATGTCAATAGAGAAAATCTAAAACAATTATAACAGACACATGATTTTTATATCACAGGTTTCCAAACTCTGGGGCCCATGAACTACTATTGAGATTCCTTGTACTATTTTCATAAAATAGATAATATCCCCACACATTTATCTGGAATGAAGCTGCATAGGTATTTTTTAAGTGCTTTAGTTTAAATTACATGAAATAAAACAAAAACTGAAATTGATCATATTTTAGGAACAAAATATAAAATAATAAATACAGCTTGTTTATTAAACAATAAAACATCAAAATTTGAAGATAATTGATAATGAGTTTCATGGAAATGAAAATTTGGGAATGGCCAGCCT